TTTTGCACAAAGTTTTTCGTTGTACATATTTCGATCCAAGCTTTAATATCAGTTTCCATGATTTTGTATCTGGAATTTTTATTTATTATTTTGAGATAACACAAAATCAAATTTGAATGTAAGAATCAATTGACGAAAAGTCAAAAAAATTATTGGCATTGCGGTATTCGAACCTGCGCTTTCTTTGCAACGAACACTCATACACTCTAGCCAACTGAGCTTAAAATAAGACAATAGTTTTCCAGATTTTCCTGTGAGGTCTTTGGCTAATCGGCATCGGTGGAAAAAATTTCTGACTTTTTAACTATTAAACTTACATTTGATATCACATTTATTTAAAAATGGATGTCATGTAAAATGTTGTTTTAAAAATATATTATTGCAAACATTGTGCCAAGGCATGTCCGATATATTTATTATTCTTCTTTATACAATCTTTTTGAAAAATATTCAATGTAGATACTTTTATAAGCATAAAAATACTTTATTCATGTTTTCCTGGCTATGTTTAATATTGTTAAGATTGTCTTTGTCATATTACAGTACACACCTTGTTCGTAGTACGCGCAACTTAGTAAGCAACACGTAAGCGTTTCCCACGTGAAGGTGCTTTGATAATGCTCCGTAAACAAAGGCCACGCCGAATGAGGCGGGCTGGGAGTCCGTAGCGGCTGTAAATCATGACAAAGTGTGGCAGCAGGGGGGCGCCGCAACCCGGCACTCCTGCCACCAGCTTCGGCACCCAACTCTTAAATTAGCACCAACTTATACCACTTACTCGTAGTCTCTTCGAGTATGGTTCGCTGCCACCGTAAATATTCAATGAGACATTTCACGACCTTCTGTTTACCTTTGTGTAATATAATTTGCAAACTCCACTGTTTGCGAGAAGACACATCGCAATTAAATCTATCAGGTAAGTTTAATGTACTTATATGATGATGCAGGCATACGAGAGTTGTTTAAATCCATTATGTACTTAATCATTGTGTGCACTAAAACTTAAAAATCATAAGCTCTTGAATTTAACGATTTCGTGAGTTTACGCGAATACTTTATATTGTAAATGAAACTTATTTATTATAAGGATGTACATTTAGATCCTGTACGAAAGCATTTAATTAGAAATACTGAAAGCTTTGTTGAATGAAATTGTAATTCGCGACGTTTCAAATACTTAGAGGTCCGAATGTCATCGTTAACCCAGGCTACCGACAATTTAAAAAAAATATTAATTGTTAACCCAATCTGTGCAAAAAGTGTTGAATCTTGCATTTGTTGTGTGTTTGGGCCTAGATTACATTTCATGAATTATAGAATACAATATAGAAAATTCTTTTATGACAAAAAAGTATAAAATAATTCGCTTAAACATAAGAAAATATTTTGTAAGCTTTATATTAATTTAAAATTAGAGCTGTAGCATCAAATATTTGTTTTTGATTTGCACTGTTGAGTGCGGTGAAGCGGTTAAGGTGGTCTTTATTTTATTGTCTAATTTTTATGATGGCTTAAATATTCCTTTCTGCATACAGCAGGAATATTCCCACAATTACGACGGGCGTAGAGTGAAGAACTAAATGACTCTGACTTCATTAATCTATTCAGTGCTCGGTTCATCAAATATTTAATTTACTTAATTGGATCAGTGCGCGACGACAAAGGCTACACTATTCAGATCTTGGAAACACAATAAATTAATGAACAAAGCGGTGTCCATTATATCTGATTCGGCCGCTGAATACTGTAGTGAGTGACCGAACGCCAATACGAGCGCGTAGACATATCGAGTGGTGGTGGACGGGGCAATAATTCGATTTCGCGGTTATTTTAGCTCATACGGGCTGCGTGGGTCGCAGGTGCCCGCTCAAATTGTAATGATCAAACTGGACAATACAATCCAACGCAAACGCGAACACGGCGTTAAATCACCTCAATTAGGAAGTCATTCGAAATTGGAATATATTTACAGCGCTTGATCGAGCAATGTTCCCTTTTCGAAAACAACGCGTAAAATGACGTTTGGCTAAGCCTACTGTTTGCTCGGGCGAGCAGGACGGTGAAAAAAATAAATTAATTTTCAAAGTTCAAATTGTAATGCAAATTACTTGCTTATGTATTCTTCTTTTGGAATTGGTTTTACTTTTGTCCAAAGATGGAAATTAATGTCTTACTTTTGAGTAGACAAGGCACGAATTGTAAGTTTGAATTGAGAGACTTACTTGGATGGACGACTTTGAAAGAGACTTTCGACATTTTATTCGCTATGAAGGTTTCTATTTTTGTCAGAGGGAGGTTTTTGTTCGAACTAATTGAAAATGTCTACCCCTTCTATTAATGGCTGGATGTTAAACTTAAGTTTAAAAAAGAGTTGTAAGTAATACTCACTTTACAAGGTAATTCTTTTTGTGCAATGTGAAAGAATATTTTGCGCGCAAAGAGCACAATATCACACAGAGCTTAGGACTAGAAAGTATCAAGAAAAATTCATACGCGAGACATAAAATATTTCAAAGACTTGAAATCTGCCAGTGTTGTATGTATGCATTGAGGATTACGGCATATAAGCCTTTTGAAGAGAAGTCTGTTTATTTATGTAAATATGAAACATAATGGTATTATAGCTTTATAAAATTAATATGGCTTTTAATCTGCGTAACTTTGTTATGATATTGGTGCGGTTTTACTCCCATGCAAAGGCCAATTAACGCACTTTGTAGTCAAATGAGGTAGGTAAGACGCGGTTTGAGCGCTCACAAGAGATTCCTGATTCATGATCAATGTGAGAAATTGAGTGCATTCGATGAAGTGTTGATGAATTTCCTTTGATATAGAGACCTTCCGTGAGTAGTGTTCTGATATTTCGTTTAAAAGGAATAATGTACTTATTCTATTTTCTATAGTCGTTGAGTATACAGGGTGGCTTTTCTAAGTGTATCCATTTTTTTATTATATTCTAGAAATAAATATTATATATAACAATGATAAATATTTAAAATTACTCGTAGTAATTAATTACATTCATTTGAACTCATCCCAAAAAGTGCGTCATTTATACACAACTCATTTATTTTACGCTCGATCATTCATAACTGACACGCACACAAAGCCGTGATAGCTCAGTGTCCGGGCGCTCGCCTTTAATTCAATATACTCGAGCAACCTGAGCTCGATCCCCGGTGCCGGCACCAATGAAGTTTTTAACTTTAAGTGCTGACTTATCACGTGCTCCGCGGTGAAGGAAAATATCGTGAGGAAACCTGCATATTTTCGAAATAATAACAAAATAATATATATATTTCGAAGATATATGAAGTCCGCCAATCCGCAGTGGGGCCGCGTGGTGGACTATGCCCTGATATCCTCTGTATAGAGGAGGCCTTTTCCCAGCAGTGGGACATGTATAGGCTGTTACTTTACTTAACTTTACGCACACAAATTCGTGCACAGTAAAAGTATTTATGTATGACTACCGCATTGTCGACACTTTCTATTTTTTAGGGAATAGAATGGCATTTTTGTTTTAAGAAAAAAACTTTGTTTTTAATTTCAATAAACGATTATACTACCGACTGAACCTCCTGTGTAAATTTAGACACTCCCATTTCTACCGTCTTACTTTTATGCGTTTGATGCGATATATCATACGAATGGGTAGGCTCATCCAGGGAAGCAGTACAGCCTCTCTAAAGACCAACGTGAAGTTGACTTATGCTTTTGCGTTACGTCTAGTAAGTGAAGTAAATGGGGCCCCGTTCTTTGAAGGTTGGGAACACATCCGCAACTCCTCTTGTGTTATAAACATCGGCAGCAATCACGTAAACTGCCTGTTCGCTTGACAACTTTTCACACAAAATAAATATACAATTTTAAAAGTAAGTAAATATTGTAGATTCAATCACATCCGCAATATATGACCAAGCGTACAGATGTACGGGCCGCTAAGCAGCGCGACCGTCACAATGTGACCTTTCTAATGATGTCGTTAATTGCACTAACACGTCGTACGCCGCAGACAAATGCCATGCTATGCTAATTATTCGTACGATTCTGATATTTCCGCATTCATCAGCATCAGCGGCGGCGGGGCATATTTCAGTTAGACGGGTACAGGTGTGCTGTTCGCTGCAACTTCGATTAATTCCCATAACGAGGCAGGTCCATCACTAGAGCGGTCGTTTGTCTCCGGGCCGGCTATAAATACATCAGCGCACTAGCAATTTAATCCGTTCTGCTGCGCTCCCGGGAAGCGCTGTCCTCCCCCGCACGCCCTGCCCTTACCTCAGTGAAAGTTCCCACTATCAATATCCTAAGTTAGAGCTAGTCCTAACTATTAACACTTAATTTCTACTATTCTCCATAATCCTGAACACCAACACTGTACGACTGGCGACTCACGTAACTGGTATTTCTTCATTATGATAGTGCATATTAGACAATACACATATTTTTTTAACTCCCACCGCAGACAACATCGCGACTGTGTATTTGGTACGGGCTTGGTATTTTTCATTCGTTTTATGAGCGCGTTCACCCTTTTTATGGCGAAGGTGCACTAACAGTTTGTAGGGAATTCGCAAATTTGCGTACAAAGCGCCGCGGTACCGGCGGCATCGTCTTTGTATGCAAATATTATTGTACGAGTCTATCGAAGGACCACACTGAATTTGCACCGAGTCAATGCACAGCGGCTTAAGAAGCGGTAATGACGCTCACTAGAGATTCTAGAAATTACAACTAGTAATTTTTCTGATGAACATCAGATATGTTCTTACGATCAGGAAAATTCAAACGGGGTGTAATTTTAGACGAAAATGATACGGAAGCTGTCGGCCGATTAGGTGATAACCTAATCGAAATACAGAGTTCGCAATTCATAGGTAAATCTTCGCTAAGCGTGTTAACACGGCTCGGGGTTATTGCGGTGAACCGATCCAATTGTTAACCCTTATATACATGTACATATATGTACATACGGTCCGTCTTATGTCCGTGTCTACATGTGTGCTCTTCCTTCCGATTCTACTATTGTGACGCCGAACACATTGGCCGTGTCTGAGAACGCATATGTGGTAAGTTAATTATCAGCTATTCATAAGCATCGATTCGTCCATCAGTTATGTTCTCATAATGTTGGTCACTGCATAAATGAATACGTATTTTGTATACATGTATTCGCTTTCTGTGTTTAATTGTTTGTTATTTGTTAGGGTTCGACCTGTCCAGCGTAAGTAAATACGAATTAAATATTTTTAGGGAGGAAAATATTCGCTGACCTTCTAGTATATAGCTCCTTAATAACATGAGCTGACGACTAGTGAGATCGTTAGTTTGTAACTATTAAATAATTTTTTATTATGTCATGTAAATAAAATGAGATCCCAGACGCTCTAGCCAACTGAGCTAGGCACCTGATGTTTTCATGCGAAAATATTGACAATTATTTCGGCCGAATCCCGCAGGGCCATAATATTTTTCGACAATTTATCTATTAAATTCACATTTAATAGATCATTTTTTATTTAATAATAATTAAAAACAAAAAAAGTATAATAAATATGATGGGCTCTAATTACTGGTGTTTTTGTAGCTAAAATTAAATTGAAATAGTGACCCATACATTAGGGTCCAGAAAATAAACCGAGTTATTGGGTAGGTAAATTATTAGAATATAGAGTATGCAAATTTAAGTTCCAATATTAAGAAAATGAAGAAAAAGCCATTAAATGAAGAATAACCATTGTTTTTTATAAGAATTTCTATTATTAAAATTTATAAGTTATTCACAAAAAAATAAATGAATATCGATCAATTTATTATTTAAACTTCCGCAGCTGGGAGTCACGATGTTCAAAGACCAATGCGAGGCACAGGTCGCCGAGGGCATTTGGTCTGTAAATGCTGCAACCGACGTCTCCCGATCATGAAAGCGCATCTGTCGTCCAAAGAACGACAGGCCAGAATTATTGAGGCAGGCACGTGCGACGAAAGCAATACACCCAAAGCGGCGAGCTTTGCCCACGCGGTTGTTCCTTTTATTTTATTCGTTTCAACCGCAGAGGCATCCTCGACAGCGGGAAACAATTACGCTATTACAAAGGGCCTTAAGAGCCCTAATTAAGGCCGCGCCTCGGTTCGCTCGCGAGACCCGATCGGACACGAGACCCCCATTATCGCGCGCCGTAAACATTTCTGGGTCCCATATCCGCGCCGCGGCCGCCACCCGCACCCTTCTTGTCGACTACCGGAAAAGACCATCATCGTTTCGATGCTTTCTGACGCACACTCCGGACGCCTGCGTTCATATTGTGCGCCGTTAATATTCAGCGCGGGGTATCCGACCTTTTTTTATTCGTTTCCAAAATTGGACATTTTGTCGCGATGCCACCCACCGGTGGTGGTGGCGATAAAAATGCGGAAACCGCGTGCGCTAACGACTTCGCGACTGTCTAGTTCAGGGACACCTTCACTAAGCCGTCAGAATTGCTTAAACAACATCTCAATCGCGGCATTGTAATTATCCCATGGGAAAACTGTCTTTTTTTCCAGTAACATTGGTCCGTAAAATCCGTAAATTTTGTTGCGTAGTGGAAATTATTATCTATTGTGCAATGGTTATAAAAATTAGGTGATCGTATTTCCGGGAATTATGTTGCATGTTATTTACTATTCTGTATTATACATATATATACAGAACTATTGCATAAGCATTCGCGAAAGTCGCGGCTGTTATCAATATTTTAAAGATATATGTAAATTTGGAACGGAAGTTCAAACAGTTCTCCGTTAAAAAAACCCTCCGCTCAACAACCGCTGTTAAACTGAAGTTAGCAAAACAACAAGCGTCCGTCGGCGTTTTGCGACCACCTTTGCAATTTACGGCTCTGTCATTATTCAAAGTTTTGAAAAATTTCCCAGCTGTCGGTGTAATCGCCGAGGAAAAAGTTCCCTCTAAATATGATCTTGCGAATCTGCTGAAGCCGCTCGTCTTTATGCTGAAGTAGCGAACTCGCTAAGATAAGGGGAGGAGCGGACAAATTGTAATAATTGCGAGACGAGATAAGAAGTGACACCAGAAAACAAATGAAGGCGGGCGAAAGCGGGAAAAGTCGGCCGGGGCGGGCGGGGGCGCCGCGTGACGTCACTGCGCCTTGAGCTGGGAACTGCTTCAGCCGGCCTATCTCTCTGCCTATGACTACCGCCAGACTCATAAAAATAAAAGCGAGTAAAGTATTACTGTGATTGTCTGAACGAAATAAATAATTTCACCGAGCCAAGGATCATTTTAGTCTCAAGGACTCGTGGAATAGTTCTCGAACAACTTTGCGGAATAACATGGACTTGTAAGTATCAAACTGGGAATCACGAAGTCATTTTGTAAGTCACAATTTCAGCTGAAATAATTTGTCAAATAATTTACGCAAACGCTTAGGCATTGTTTTGTAGTAAAGGATCTGAATGGTGAATTTGGTTTTAAGCGGGGTAACAAGGAATCTCTCGGGATCCCCCGAGAACAGGAGACGCGTCCGCGCCACACACCAAATTAAAATGATAAATCAAAAGCCGTCAGCTAGCCGCAATCTGCCATTTAATGTTACGTTTATTTTTCCCATATAAAACAATCACGGTTGTCCAATTCGCTTCATAAATAAATCTAATATGTTTACCGGTTATTTTATCTCTAATGTTATTTATTGCTAGTCTAGTTGCTCCGGCTCAACTCGGGTAGACGATTTGCGACGTACTATCGTATTATCGAAGTATTTATTCGTGCTACTACGTATTATCGAAGACTTTTTTTATTCATGCCAAGGACACAAACAGACTCCACCAATACTAATATTCCTAAAGTATATAGTTAGCATGATACATCACTCAAAATATTTTCATTTATTAGGTACTTCAAAAAATAATTTCCAGAAATCATTATCCATCCCTGTTTTTGATTCCCTTTTGAGATATATTCAATTTAACTCACTGCACACCGCCTTGACGAAATTACCCCATTATTTATAACCGTCCAAAATTTTTCGACTTTTCACTGAAGCCAAGGGAACAACAGAAATATTAGGTTAAAATATTGGAATGATTTAATCATTTTATTCACCGACCTGGCGGATGGATAATGTGGAAATTATACCGAAACAATGGACTAGAATAATAAGGAATTATTTCATATAGCTATTGTATAAGAAGCAGTCGCTTGTTTTGAGTTCTAAAATGTCTTGTATCCAAAATGCCTATGCAGTTACTAAAAATAGGTTGGACAGATTAAATTAAACTTGAAACCATGTATACATAGTGATGAAATAATGAAAATATAATTACTGTTATTAAAAAAGGATTGACAAAATGTTTTATAATATTCAGTTTAATGAAAACACCTACTGTGTTGTGAAACGATAATTGTACGTGATAATTTTATCTATATGGTAATTTTAAACAGATTACAAAATAAACATTTACCCGATTGACAATGTGGTATTGTACACGCTAAAACAATTGTGTGGTTGATTGGAATGAGACGCAATTTGTCAACTGTACGGGTTTGGGATTGTACAAATCGTAATATAAACAGAACTCTTCATATTGTTCTAAACTAATTATGACCGAAATACGTGTTTGAAAACGTATATGAATATCGAGACTACTTGGATATTTGCATTATTCGGGAATGTACGTGGAAATTCCGAATGTTCGAGGGATGTCTTGTATTGTCACGGGTGCCGTTTACGCGGTAACCGTGCCTTGCTAGTGGTGGGGTTATCGAGAACCATTCTCAGATACCCATAATGTTTTATTAAATGTCATCCGCAATATAATGAGGTGCGAGGGATCTACCATTTGCGAGAGAGGCGCTACAGAAATATGTGCGAAGTATTATGGAGTGCCGTTGTAAGTCAATGAAGCGGAAAATGGGGTGTTCTCGCCGCTTCGATGAGGGTACACTCTAATAAATAAAATTATGCCTCAGAAATTACAAGAATACGCGAGCCACCAGCGATCCCCGCGAGATTGGATGCTGGAGATTTTCATCGATATCCTCCAATAATGAATCTAATATGTAGTAAGCTTTGAAGACGCTATGACTTTGTTGTGGAAAAAAATGAGATTGCTCCCTTGGCGTTATAGGTGACGGCGGAACAGAAAAAATAAAGCACAAAAGTAATCGAATATTGATAAAATTCTTTCGTGTACTTTTTTAAGTTTTTCCTTATTATGTATAGGAAAAGTCCACGGAGAAACTAACCACATAACCAGTTACATTGGCTTCACAATAATTAAATAGTATTATTATTTTCTGTTTAACAGTTTTTTGTTTAGTCCTTGGTTTTTGAATGAATTATAGGTTTGTTTACTCCTCCTTAATCTACTCCTCGAAATCCCCGTAATGTTTTACGTGTTAGTTCATGCCTTTGTAAAAAATAACTCCTACGTTTAAAGAATCGCTTCTCGTCAAAGCTATATAATATATAATAAACTATTTTCCTAATGCCTTACACAAAAAAAAGTTGAATTTTACTCAGAACTTGATAATAAATAATGGATACATGTGTAAAGTTTGTAATTGCCTTTGTTGAGGTTGATCCCTAAAAGTTTTCTGTCAAGTACATATTTTAACTCTAGAAGAGGCGTAATTTGTCTCATCTATTGTGTTGTTTTGACATGGGTCCTGAGAATTTGCTAAGGAGTCTCTAAGTACATTTTTTAACTTTCAACATTTTATTTATGAAATAGCATCATGAGCCACTCTCTTCTGTAATTTGTCTCCTCTGTGAATTTTTGCTTAGCAATATTTATATTCCTCCGTTTCCAAAAAGCCTTATAGTTGCTTTGCAATTAAGGTAATCATTAATATTTTTTTAATTACCTATATTTTTCTCACGACCGTTGACGTCGACACGCTTGTTAATTTTAGAACATTTGTTTTAGTTAAATAGGTTATGTATATCATATTTCTAGTGGTATTGGTTTCTATTATGCAGATCAGTCTTGGCTTTATTACGTTCGGGCTTAGGTAGGTTCTGGTGCCAGTGTCACGCACGCTGTATCACGGGGGATTGTCTCGGAGGCGGTGTAATAAATAATATTTTAAGGGTGAAATTATTGTGTGGAAGCAACCCTCACATCGGGCGGTATGTTCGTGTCGCCTCCCCATCCCCCACAATGTATAAAGTGATATTACTTATGCGCTTACCATTAAGGTTATACGTTTCGAGTAAATTAAGACCAATTTGCAGAGGTTTTGCCGCGAAATATGTGAATTTAATTTATGAACGGTGTGACGGAAATAATTTGAGTGAATGCTTAATGAATGATTCTAATTTAATAACGTGTACGTATATAAATGGAATTGTAACTGTTAAAATGTTAACATGCTTATCTTATATTTAACCATATGAAGACATATTTTTAAATTAAAGAAGAATAAATAAATATTTTAGGACACATTTTTACACAACATTCTCTAGTCCCAAACTAAGCGACGCTTGTTTTAGATTACTGATAAACATACTTTTCTTTTGTAAATAAATACATGTTATAAATATATTAACACCCAGATACTGGAAAAACGCTACACATTGGGGGTCGAACCTACACCATCTGGCGCTAGAACTAGGTTCGCTACCCGCTATGCCAATTGGGTCAACTGTATTTGTTTTATAAATGCTATGCAGTCTTTCTCATTTTTATGAAAGTAATGAAAAAACTATTGTTTATTTATTATAAATTATGATCGTAATAGATTATTTATACGGAAAGTAATTTTCTGTTATCCATAAAAAATATGATGATTATTGATTTCTGTTGAGCAGGTTTACATTTTTGTTATGTTTAATCAATAATTTTATTGGATGTTAGACTTTCTTTCACTTAAGTTTTTCATATAATATATCCATTGTAGTATAATTTTATAATTATCATAACTGCAGAATTATTTTTCCTATAAATTTTAATGTTCACTTTTATAATTAGAAAAAAAGTATAATCGAAAAAAAAAAAAAAAAAAAAACGACGGTTGCATTAAAAAGAAACGTGATACAGATAGAATAGACATTTTTTTTAGTGTTGATGTAGTCGAACGCATATAAGTGATCGATTGCACCCGTGAATTTTGATCCTCACAGCATCCGTGAAGGAGCTATAAATTTGAGACATGTACTAAATTGAGCCGTTGACATAACAATTGGCAGTCTTATTGGCGAGGCGATGATCTCGCCCGCACCTATTCCCGCATCACTCACGATAATGGCCGGGTCCGTGTCGCGACGCTAAATGTAAATCGCTCTAATTTATATGCGCGATAACGCCGCCG